ATGATGAATTTTACTGACTCTGTGCCTCCCAGGGGCAACCATCCAGTTATATAAAGGTGGGGGTAGGTCGGTGCCTTGGCCACACTGCATTTTGGGTTTTCATTCATGTTGCCCAGTTTAGTGGCTAAAGATTTGCTAAATGGGCTGTTTTCATTGCTAGAAGCTACTCATGTTAGGTTGAATCATGTAAGTCATTTGAAGCAGTGAATCATGAAATTGCATTTTTGTAGATCAATAATAGTCAAATTTTAGCGATTGTTTATGTTTCAACATAATATTTAAAGAGAGATATCTGCAGGCAGGTTTATTCTCAATGTATGTCTTGTTCTACTTCTTGTTTTCTTGTCATTAATTAGTATATTATAAACAGCTATCCATTTTAACAGATACGTGCACCTTACTCTACACATAAATTGTATCCCATTGTTTGCACAGATTAGATGTCACTGAACCAAGCTCCTATTTTGTTTCCAGACTTTTTTGGTTTTGTTCTTACAAAAAGGATGCAATAGAAGTCTATAAACACAGTTTACACAGCTTTATGCATTAGCTTTGAGTATTTCCTTAGGGTAAACTAGTGGAAATAGAGCTGCCAGGCTAAAGGTTGTGTGCATTTAAAATTTTGATATATATTGCAAAGTTCCCTCCAAAGAAGTTGCCCTAATTCAGACTCCCATTAGCAGTGAGTATGCTTGCCATAGCAGTATTGTAAACTTTATAATCTTTACTAATCTAATAGGTATAAAATGGAATGCTGTTGTTTTATTTTGTATTTATTTGATGATATATGATGTTAAACCGTTTTCATGTATTATATATATTTTCCTGTTATATCAGTCAGCTTGGACTGCTATAATAAAAACCTTAGACTGGGTGGTTTATCTTCACAGTTCTGGAGGTTAGGAAGTTCAAGATCGAGGTGCTGGGAGGTCTGTTTCCCTGGTGAAGGCTCTGTTCCTGGCTTGCAGACGGCTGGTTTCTTGCTATGTCCTCCCATGGCAGAGAAACAGAGAGAGCTCTAGCTTTTCTTCCTCTTTTCCTAAGGATGCTAGTCCCATCATGAGGATCCCGCATGACATTATCTAAACCTAATTACCTCCCAAAGGTCCCACCTCCAAATACCGTCACATTGGGGATTCGGGCTTCAAATATATGAATTTTCGAGGAGGACACAAGTGTTCAATCCATAGTGACTGTAAACTACCTATTCATGCCCTCCATCCCTATTTGCATTGGGCTCTCTGTCTTTTTTTACTGACTGGCTGACTTCTTTGTAAATGAGGAACATCAGCATTTAGGATGCATTTTAGAAGTGCCTCAGGTTTCTGCTTCAGTCTTTACAAGTCTGTGTGTGCTGGGAAGGGGCACCCTGCTGGCATGTTACAGGCTTGGACTCTCGATCGTTTGTTTCTGTCTCTTACCATGATTTATTCTTTGGTTTTGTTGTTTATCACTGACTAAAAGAGGTCCTGTTAGTCCTAATTTCAGGAATATCATGTCATAGAACACTTGGAGGTCTTCCATCTTGGTTCACAGAGAGCTCCTTGACTATCAGAAAGAAGGAGGGAGGAGGGCCATTTGGAGGGTGAGAAGGAATGGAGGGAGTATGGGGGTTTGGTCTGACTAAGAGGCTGACACCTGAGACTCTCCTCCCTTTATTTGCTCTCGAATTTTCTTCCTTCCTTTCTCTTTCTCTGCATTCCTCCCCACCTTCCTTCCTTCCTTTCTGTTTTCCTTCTCCTTTTTCCCTCTGTTTCTGGCTACATACTATAAAAACACAATTCTGGGAATGTGGTTAGATTCACACCATGGAGACTGAGATAGAATTTCAAGTCACTCACCACAATTCAACCATGTACTAGAGAATTCTTATGAATAGAATAGGATGGAATGTGGTTTTGTGTCCCCCCGCCCCAGGGACCCTGCCCAATTTGGCTATGGGAAAATAAATGAAGGGTGGGATTAGTTGTAGGAAGTGGATTTTTTGGTATCACTGCACATCTAACCCAAATATTATAGGTAGTGCCTTAGTTATCTATGTTAACATGGTGGGAACTGAAATCCCCAAATGTGTCAGAAACATAGTCTGCCTTCATTTGTTTATCCAAACTCTCCTTCTGCAATACTAGAACTATCAAACTGGATTTATTTCTATGCATTTTACCCTTCTGTTCTCCACCAGCATCGGCAGGGAAGGGACACGCAGCAGGGGAAAAACAGGAACACAAGGGTGGAGTCAGGAGACCTCAGTTTTAGTCCAGTCTGTGCTCATTAGCCTGAGACGGTTGGCAAGTCATAAAGCTCTCAGGGCCTCAGTTTTTCCCTCTAAAAGAGACAAAATCACACCGACCTGGCTGAGGGGCCCGTGCCGTAGAGCCCACCCCTGTGCACAAGAGCCGTTTGCACAGTGTCGGACACTGAAAAGGGGCTCTGCGCATGAATGTCTGTCCTCTTTCCCCTCTTGTCTTAGAAGCCCTAACACACTGCAGTGGTCTCCTAGGGCTGTCATAACAAATTCCCACAAGCTGGACGGCCCAAACGGCAGAAATGTATGCCCTCACACTTCTGGAGGCCAGGAGTTCAAAATCCAGGTGCTGCCAGGGCTGCAAGTGCTCCCTGCTGGGGGCAGCCCCCTCCTGTGCCTTCCAGCTCCTGGGGACTCGGGCCTTCCTGCTTGTGGCTGTGTCACTTCAGTCTCTGCGTTGGTGGTCACATGGCCTCCTCCTCTGCGTCTGTGTCTCATAAGAACACTTGTCATTGGATGTAGAGCCAACCAGGAAAATACAGGATAATCTCATCTCAGGATTCTTAACTATATCTGCAATGACCCTTTTCCAAGGAAGGTCACTTTCCCAAGGTCTGGGTTAGGGTGTAGACATAGCTTTTGGGGCGGGTCACCATTTAACCCACTACTCACACTATATATCAAGACTATGGCCTGATTAGGCATTTTTACAACCACCTTAGTGAATCCACCATCAGTTTGATATTAATAAGTTAGGACATGTAGGGGAAGAGAAGAAAGAACAAAAGCTTGTTTTTTGTTTGTTTCGTATTTTTAAGCAGGTAAAAAGCCTTCTCTCCAGGGCCCCCAATTTAGTAGTGATGAGCTGAGTGTGTTCATTATTCCTGTGCTCATCCCCATCTGCTGCTCACGTTGCTCACACGTGGGTGGGAAGGAGCTGCAGGCTTCCTGTCACGGACCCTCCTGTGGGGCCCGCGCTCTGACCCCGTCTCCCATGGCCCCAGCCTGGCTCTCTGACTGGGGCTCCTGTAGCCTTGCTGTCTGACATCCAGCCCTGGACTTCACCTTCTGCTTCGACTCTTGTTTGCTCCCTGGGTTCCCTCTCTCACTCATCCTGCCTGGGTTACTCACCGAACCTTTAGGAACCCCTTACTATTCTGTGTACTGGAATGTAGTTGAGGGGAAGTGTCCCCAGTTGAACAAGACCCATGGCTTCCGGCTGACTGAGTGCCTGGGGGCAAGACCTCTACCCAAGAGCTGAGCCCTCGCTTTTAGTGACACGGTTCGGCTACAGCAGTGGCGGTACTTACTGAGCACTTGGGTTTCCTCATGCTTCCTCACAGCCACCCTCTGAGGTAATGTGAGCTCCGTCTCTTACTGCCATATGTGTGTGAAGGAGCTTAGCTTTTGCAGTATGTTCCACACAGAGGGGAAGACAGTCCCTGGACTTTCTCATTGCTCAGGGGTGGTGCGGGGACAAAGGAAGAGTGCAAGTGTGAAAGGCCTTTGAGCTCTTGGGCCAAACAATGCTGCCCACAACCAACATAAAAAAAAAAAAAGGCTAAGGTAATCTGGAGGTATTTTTGCATTTTCAATGGGAGCCCAAGGATCACTGAAAAACCCGTCTTCTAAGGAAAGTCATAGTGTTGCTTGTCCCATGGAAAGGAAGGACATTCCAGGAGAGGACCCCAGAAGCCCAAGAGCAGCCATCTGCTGGGAAGAGAGCAGGGAGTTGGGTAGACTTAAGTCCCAGCCTTGCTGAAGTGACGAGCCTGGGGCAGGTCACACACCTCAACCTCAGCTGGGGAACCTCACCTCCGAAAGATGAGAGTGGTAGTAACCAGGGCTGCTATAAGGACTGGAGATAAGGACTGGCACTCGGTGGGCACCTGTGTGATTACAGCTATTACTGCGATCCCACCTCTGATGCCTTCTCAATGCCCCACCCCCACCTCCTCCTTGTCACCTAGCAGGGCAGCTAGTCCACCCAGGAGCCACCCCCAACCTTGGACTGGCTGCTTAGGGCTCTTCTGCTGCAGGGTCCAGGCCATACGTGTGGACATGAAGTGCTTTTCTCTTTGTCTTGAGGGCCTAGCTCAGCACAGGTGTACAGCTGGTGCTCAAGCATGTCTGCATAATGAAGGCACACTATGCATTCAACCTTAGGACCATGCCAGGCCTGGTGTGGTAGGTCTCTGTGAAATAGCAAGTTAAATAGACGGGAGTGTAGAGTCACCCTCTGCATAGAACTTTAAAACTTTCTGATAGATTCACCTCCCCTGATTCATCGTGGAAGCAGGAAAGGTTGTCAAAATGGTGACTATGAACATGTAGTGCCAGGCTCTCTGCTATGAACCAGCCTGACCTGCCCTAAATCCCCTTTCCAGCCTGACTGAGGCTAAGGGGGACTCCCGAGGGCGGGAGGAGACTCTCTAAGAACTGAGGGCAGCACACGAAGCTCTTCAGGCCGTGCACCCAAAGCAAGGACTACATTATGACTTTCCTGAGCCCTAAGCATTTGTGCCTTGGTGTGTCTCTTCCTCCATAAAAAACACTTAAAATTATATTTTATGAGTGCGCTGGTATAAAGACGAATATAATCCAGGCAGGATTATATTCATTTTGTTCCTCAAATTTTAAAACAGGCCCTGCGCCTACTTTTGCCTAATGGACAAGCCTATTAGGTTATCCACAGTCTTTGAGAACTAAACAGGAGCCGGTGTCCTGGTCCCCTAACCAGCCTCTGTCTCCGCAGGTCCCGCAGCGGATGGCAGCGGCCGAGGGCGCCCCCGAGGACGGCGGCGGTGGCGTCCCGGGCGTCTGGGGCGCTTGGGGCCCCTGGTCCGCCTGCTCGCGCAGTTGCAGCGGCGGCGTGATGGAGCAGACGCGGCCTTGCTTGCCCGGATCTTACCGCGCGCGCGGCGGCCCGCGGCCTGGAGCCCCGGCGCGCGCCTTCGCCGGCCACGTGGTGTCGGCTGTGCGCACGTCGGTGCCCCTGCACCGGAGCCGCGAGGAGTCGCGCGTCCCCGCCGGCCTCAACGCCAGCCGCCAGGGCCCGGTGCTAAGGGGCAGCCGGCACCCCCAGGCGCGAGTACGAGAACCCACGGCAGACAGAAGGTACACGCCCTCCCCGGCCCCTGCCCGCCCTCCACCCGCCATGGTCCTTGCCCCTGCTCTGCCCCTGCCCCTGCTCTGTCCCTGCCCCATGTGCCGCAAGCTGCTCTGCACTACAGATTGCTTGGTTAATGCATTGCTTCTGCTGGGTGGGGAGGAATTCTTGGCTCCGTGTATCTCCTTTCATCTTTTGATTTATTTGCAGCTTTTTAAAGCGTTGAGGCCACTCCCACCCCACTCTGTGGTTCTGAATAGTCTTCAAAGTGAAGCTAATTCTAAGAAGCCCTTAGGCACCAACCTTAGGGAGGCCCTGTGGAGGGTGAAAGGAGGGGACCAAGAGCAGGGAGACCTCCCTTCCAGGGCTGCTCGCCTGGTGCAGGGGGAAAGAAGAATCCTGGCCCCGGGCTGTGTGGATTTGAGCTGAGGACAAGGTGCCTTTTAATCCAAGGTGCCTTTTAACCTCATATGAGTTTCAAATACTTGGACAAGTTGAATGTCTCAAGTGTTACCTGCTCCCAGGTTGTAGGTTTCAGGATTCTGTGAACCTTTCTAGAAAGTTTCTACAAAGTATTTTGAGTAAACACACAGTTTGGAGACTATGTCTAATTAAGGACCTAGACATTGTTTAGAATCTTTACAAAATATAAACTATAGAAATGACTTAATGGCATTAAAATAGAAGTATAGCCCTAAGAAGCTTCCCTGGCTAGGCCAGCATAAATATGCCAAAGTTGGCAGGGCCCATGGGAAAGGTAGGAATATAGATTCTGAGAAGAGCTTGTCAGTCAAACACTGTTTACAGATTATATGCCAAGGCCCATGGTAGAATCTGAGACAATATTTATACAAAAGCATTAACAAGAACAAAGAACAAGAAGTATAAGATATGGTCACTGTGCTTAAGAAATGTATAGTTTAGTGGTCAAGCCAAGGTAATGCCCACCCCGGCAGGGCAGGAGCCTGTCAGGCGGGTGACCCAGCCCCTCTTGTCAGTTGCAGTTCAGACATCAGCAAGCACGGCCACCCTTTAGCACTGTGGCTAGATGCTGTGGGAGAGTCCTTCTAGCTCAGTGCTGTAGGCTGTCCCTGCTAGTGCCTGGAGGTGGAGAGGAGATGCAAGCCACCTAGCCTCCCTGCCACATGCTCTTGACCTGGTCAGCAGGAGTTTGGATAGGGAACCATTTCACAGAGAAGATGCTTTAGCTGAATTCTGAGGGATAAATCGTATTTGGGCCGATAGAAGAGAGAAGAGCTGAGAGTTTCATGGCTTGGCATGGCCTGTGAGTAGGAGAGTGAAGAGAGGGGTCAGCGGGAAGAGGGTGCTTCCTTCTCTCTCTTCCTGTGTAGAAACCCAAGTACCCCGCACCGTCAGCCGGGACTGAGGGTCTGCTCCTACTGACCTGAGGGCTTATCATTTGTTATCTCCTTTCATTCCGACCACGCCCCGGAGTAACAGAGCTCACCAGTCCCTTATAGGAAAATGCTTCTGCCAGAGCAGTTTAGAATTCAGAACGGTTAGATTTTAGAAAGGTAATTTAGGGCATATTTCACACATTAATATCATTCCTTCTCTGGTGTGGGGCAGCATCCCATAATCAAACACATCATTATTTCTGCAGTGAAACACAAATTTTCACATCACATAGGATGAAAGAGACCATACATAGCTTTATGTTTGTTAAGGTCAAGGTGGCTCCTGAAAGTTTTGACATCAAACTGACAAAAACATTAAAAGAAAATTAAAGACAAAAACTTGGCTTTCAAAACCCTTGGTTTCAGAATTGCAGATTTATAATAGCCAAGGTTTGCTGAATGCCTGTTTTATGTCAGGCACTGTTCCTCTCATTTTACACTGACAACCCTATCAGATGGATGCTAATGTTCTTAATTTAGAGGTGAGGAAATGGAAGCCCAGAGAAGGAGGGTAACTTGCCCAAGGCTGCACAGCTGGTATGTTAAGGGTTAGGACTCGAACCCAGGCAGTCATGATTCCCAGGACCTGATGAGGTAGATGTTATACATGAGGAATCTGAGGCCTTTAGATGTTAAATAACTACTCGGAGTCCTAAGTAAAGCCACAAAAAGGCTGCTACTGAGTCCCAGATCCCTAGCACACTCAGGGACTTCTCTTCCAGCCTCTGTGGTTGCGAACCTAGAAAAGCTGCCCAGGGAACAGGCTCGAGTTGGCTGCCGGCCTGGGCTGCAGACTTTCCGGCCCATGCGTTTTGGCAGCAGGAAAATTTTCTCTTCTAAGTTATTGACAAGGGGCCAGTTACTGTTTACTATGAAGTTCCTACAAGTTTTTATCATGCTCTTGTAATTTGACAGTTTCAGATGAAATAATCCAAATATTAGCCTGGGAGGCCTGCGCTGCTGATGAATGTCACGCTCTTCCTGGCTGACGAAAATTGCATTTGCTTATATTTATTAGTGATTAGGAGCTTGCATAGTATATGTGACCCCAGAAGAAATGTCAGTGTGTTCCCGGGATGGCTGTCTGCCTCACTCTCTGTTTCAGGTTTGAGGTTTGAGGCAAAGGCTGTTAGGGCTTAGATGTTTAAGAAACTGTTAGATTGTTATGCTAGGCAACTGAAAACTTAATTGGAGCCAGATAACATATAAAACAAAACTATTCGACCTTCCAACAAATATTTACTAAGCATCTACTATGTTGTAAGGCTCTGGGACAGACACAAAGGTATAAAACCCAAGTTGAGGGTGGGGGACTAAAGGTTCCTATTGACAGGCTGGAACAGCTGTTAGCAAACTTTTTTTTTTTTTTTTAAGCATAAGAATCCTTTGTGTAAAATCAGCCTTAGATGGAGGCTCAGTTTGTCACACAGGCAAAAAATGAGCTGCTCTGGTTGAAGCCTCAGAGACATACTATAAAAATCTGGGCTATAGATCCAAAGGGGGCAGTGGTTTTTAACCTTGGCTGTTCATTAGAATTCTTTGCCCATTTTTTAAGGAATCTTGACACCCTGGTCACATCCCAAACCAACATCTGAATCCCTAAAGATTGTGCTCAGACATGGATATATTCCAAACAAGGTTGGAAACCATGGGTCTGGAAGTATCTTTGGAACCTCAAATTTCCATGGAAAAGAATTTGGGAATTCAGTATTGTCTAGCAGAATTGTCCCGGCTCAGTGAGCATATATCAGCATCACTTGCAGCGGTGGGGAGTCTTGTTAGAAGGAGAGCTGCCCAGTCCCCATTATCACCCTTGCTTAACGGGGATTCTGTTGTGGGGATCTGTGGTGTGAACCTAAGTAGTTTAATTTTAAATTATTTTTACAAACTCCAGATTTTGAGTACCACTGCTCTAGAAGGTCAGAAAAGGCATGTTTGTAAACGCCTACCTTATGGGGCAGTTTGATGAAGTAGTGGCTGTAATGAATATGGCTTCCAGTTTGGAGCATGTCTTCTCTGTAGGCACTAGGTCAAATGCATGGAAACACAGGTCCCTTAGCCCCGTGTGGCGGATACATAGGTTCACACTGTGACACAGGTCCCTCAGCCCCGTGTGGCGGATACATAGGTTCACACTGTGACACAGGTCCCTCAGCCCCGTGTGGCGGATACATAGGTTCACACTGTGACACAGGTCCCTCAGCCCCGTATGGCGGATACATAGGTTCACACTGTGACACAGGTCCCTCAGGCCTGTGAGGCAGTTGCATAGATTCACATTTTACTGACAGGGAACCTGAGGCTCAGAAAAATAAAGTTACTGTATTTTGCTGTGTATAATGCACTCCCATGTATACTGCGCTCCCATGGTTTTTGCTCAAACTTTCAGGAAGAAAAAACCTTTCATTTTAATTTTTGAATTGAAGTATTTATTTATTTATGTTTAGAAACAAAACCGATCATTGTATTCCAGGGTATTCTTTTACATGTGGATATCGTTATTGCTTTTTAGAGTTACACTTTGAATGCATAAGCATAAATAAAAGAATTAAAAACATCATATAGATACAGAATTAGTACTACCCATTTATAAAGTGCATCCTAATTTTTCCCTCAAAAATTTGGGCAAAAAGTGTGCATTATACATGGTAAAATATGGTAATTGCTGAAGATCACTGTTCTGAGGTAATTGAACCAGAATTCTAAGTAGGTCTGTTAGAATCAGGCACACTTTTTTTTTTCACTGAAACGGGTTTTTGAAGTGGTTATTTTGGTAGTGAGGTTGCTCACTTGACCAGGTATGGTCAGAAAAGCTGCTTGGAGGTTGGATAGTTCGGGGCACATTTTGAAAAGTGGATGGGATTGGCCGTGAAGGCTTAAAAAGAACTGCATCTCTCCCCTGTGGCGTTCAGCTCTCTCAACCGGGGAAATCTTTGCATCTAGTCCCAGGCTCAAAGGGGGTTCAAAAAAAAATTAGAAGGCACAGCCCCTGTTCTTGGGGGCCTGCTATGGTGGTGGTGGGTGAGTGGAAAACCCATGAAACACTGCCTATGGCGAGAGTCAGTAGAGGTATGGCGAGAGTTCAGGAGAGTGGGACTTCCTTGTGGGATGGAGCTGTGTGCGAAGGCTGCACAGAGCAGGTAGAATTGGAACCCACCCTTGATGAATAAGTAGAATTTACTTAGCTGGAATATATCAGGAAACTTCTTGGGTCAGTTTGCTTCCATATTGCACATCTATCTCATTAAAACACACACACTACAAACTGCACTCTCAAAAGCCATTGAAATCACGTCAGTAATTATTAGAGCTCTCTGAAGGATCCTGAGCTCAGGAAAGTCACTGAACTTTTCTGAGCCTCAGGAGCTTTGTCTTTCAAATGAGAGTAATAATAATACTTATCACATGGGATTGTTGAACAATTAAGTGAAATAATATATTTATATTGCCTGGCCTATAGTAGGTACTCAATAAATTGTAACTCTAACTACCATTATGGGTTTAAAGGCTGGGCGTTGGTATGTTAGAATTACAGTTAGAACCCTGCTTCTGCCGGAAGGATCAGGGGCCATGCAGGAAGATGGTGAGCC